ACCATAAAGATTTTTTTAAAAATAAAATCGATGCAATTAATTAATTTATTAATTAGGTGCATAGACGGTGTTACAAGAAGTAAGGAGTAATTTTGTAAGTGTCTAATAGCATTAGAATGTATGTAGATACTCACTACGTATAGATATAGCCCATGGTTTAAAAACTCATTTTTTTAAACTCATTTTAAATCACATATTCTTTCAAATAAAATAAATGTAAATTCAATTTTTTTCCTATTTTTTAACCATACAATTTTCAAATAATAACTACTACAAAATTTATTTTTCACAAAAATAATGTAGCTCAAAACAGAGCCATAGTAAAGTAATAGGAAAACTGCTCTCAATGAAGTTACATTTTAAAGACTTTTGAATTGGGACTTTTAAAAACTTTTTTTGGATTTATTTGGGATTTTTAGATATTTTTTGAGATTGAAAAAATTTAGGGATATTCAATGTAGGATTTTTGAAACTCTCTAAAAGTATTAATGTATTCAAACGAGACTTTCATAGATTTTAAAAAAGTCTTAAAAAGTGATGATGAATTTAATTAAAACTTATAAGTTAATGTATTCAAAATGTCACAAATATAAAGTCTCAAAATTTGTCTATCATTCATCTCAAAATTTTGGAAGCCTTTCACAAAAATAAAAATGTAATATATATATATATATATATATATATAAATGGTACAAAAAGTTACCCCGCCCCCACCCCCGCCCCAGCTCCGGCTCGACATGCCCCGCACCCCATCTAAGGCGGGGCGTGGCATGGGGAGGGGCGAGGTTTGGGCGAGACGCCGCCTCGAACCCACTCTGTTGCCATCTCAAATAAATTTGATAAATTAATATTACTTTACTTTTTTCTTTGATATTTATCATTCATTATCCCTTGTACCACTATGATTAAATTTTTCTATCACTTATATTTGTTTTATTTTTTTTTTTCCCGTGTATCTCTCTTTTTTCATTTCTCTTTATTGTGAATCTCTATGTTCTTCGGAAAAAAATTAAATTGTATTTCAATTTCTTATATATATCATTTTCCATTCATTTTTTTATGAAAAATATTTGTAATTAAATTTTATAAAAAATATAAAAAGGACTAATTTATAATTACATTTAAACATATTAATTTTTTGTTTACTTTTTAAATGTACGACATATTGATAATAAATAGTGATTGGTGATAAAATAGGGATCATTTTATCACATGTTGTATCTTCTTCTTCAACGAAGAAGCACATGGAACACACTAATTAAAATCATTTTATCACGAGTGTTGTTTCTTCATGTTAGGATTCACTCGAAGTCTAAACCATGAACACTAAATCCCGTAACTAAATCATTTCAAATTAAAAAGATTGAACAAATTAATACCAAAACACCAAATGCAATATCATCCAAAGATAGAACCACAGAAGAATTAACGAAAGATATCCAAGATCAAATAGTATTAAGAAATTGTTCGACAATGGCACCAAAATTTCAATACAACTATGTTAATCGCACAAGTTGATCCTCCAACTATTTGGTCGTGCAAGTTGACCCACATCTATGTGATTAAAGCATGTTGCTCCTCCAACCGTATGGATCGCAAGTTGATCGTCAACTATTTGTAAAGCAGAACCTGATCCTCCAACTATTATGTAAGAACGAGAAGATTCTCTAACTGCTAGGTTCATACAAGTTAGTCATCCAATTATATAGAAATACAAATTAGTCTTCCAACTACTTAGTCAGTGTAAGTTGATCCTCAAACTATATGAATGGTGCAAGTATGTCACCCTACTACTCAATTAACATAAGTTAGTCCTCCAACTATATGAATAATGAAAGTTAGTCCACAATCTATATTAATTAACAAATCAGTCCTCCAACTATGTGGTTAGAGCATGCTGTCCCTCCAACTAATTTTAATGTACAAGTTCGTCATCCAACGACTATGTAAGAACAAGTAGGAATAGCAGCTACTTGGATCATGCAAGTTAGTCTTCCAACTATGCAAATCACCAAGTTAGTCATCAAGTTGATCCTCGTATTATGTGAATCGTGTAAATTGATCATCCATTTGTTTAGTTAAAATAAGTTAGTCCTCCAACTATTCAGATCGTGAATGTTGGTCATTTAACTTTAATTTTACTGAAATTTTTCCTCCAGCTATGTAGTTGGAGCAATTACATCCTTCAACTATCGTCATTAAGAAAGTAGGTCCTCCAACTAATTTCAAAACACAAGTTCATCCTAGAACTACTTAGTAAGAGCAAGTAAATCTGCAACTACTTGGATCGCACATGTAAGTCACTCAACTATGCGAATCACCAAGTTATTACTCCAACTATTTGGTCCGCCCAAGTTGATCATATTATTCAAGTTCATCCCCCAACTATTTAGATCATGATATTTGGTCCTTCGTCTATATTAATCGCTAAGTTAGTGCCCTTACTATCTTGATTGAGCAAGTATGTCCTCCAACTATATTGATTGAGCAACTCAATCCTCCAACTATTTTCTAAGAAAAAGTAGGTACTTCAACTACCTGGGTCATGGAAGTTATCCTCCGACTATTTCATCCATGCAAGTTAGTCCTCCAATTATTCGGTTAAAACAAGTTCTTCCTCCAAGTAATTGGATCACGTAAGTTGGTCCTCAAACTATATGGATGGCCAAGTCAAACCTCCTACTATGTGGATAGAGCAATTTTTCTTCCAACTATCTATTGTTTAACAAGTTAATTCTCAGATATTTTGAAGCACAAGTTGATTCTCCAACTATTTTGTAAGGACATGTCCTCCAACTGCTAGGATCATGCAAGTTAGCCTTTTAACTATGTGAATCACCTAGTATTCCATCCACTTTGTCCGTGCAAGTTGATCCCCTATCTATGTGAACTGCACAAGTTGGTCATCCAACTATCAGGTTAACACACCTCTAACTATAGTCACTTGTGAATATAATATCTAATATTGCCCTATTTAGTATGGATTAAAATCTATATTTTAATCTATGTCAAAGTTTCTAATTAATTTTAGGAAAAATTGCAGTCGAGGTACCAAACATTTCATTTATTTGTAAACTTTGTCCAAACCTTTAGTTTGTGTCACCGAAGGTACCAAACCTTTAAAAAATGCGCAGGGTCAGTCTAAAATTACGGCTTCCTTTTGTTTAACCACAAAAACCATTAGTTGACCCCAAAAATTAAAAATCTAATTATTTCCCCAAAATAAGGCAAGAGCATTCTTGACATAATTTATTTCCCCTATTAAATTAAAATTAGAAAAGTAAAAAACCAAAACCAAAACCAAAAACCACCCACCCCATTTCCTTCTTCCCCAACGCCCTTACCCAAAACCAAAACAGCTTCCACAGTCCACCGAGTCGTCGAAGCCATCTCCGACACCACCACCTCAATGAATCGGTCTCAATTTCCTCTCGGCTTTCGCTTTCATCTTCTTCTTTAGGACATGAGCACGATGATCTCCCAAGACTCTTTCTCGATTTCGACGAGCTGAGTACTTTTACTCGTAGCTCTCACTGGAATACCAGCACTGTTTCCCGAGTCCGAGTTGTTAAACCTAGGGCATTATTTCCAGAGAATCCAAATACGATGACTCGAGTGGTGCGTAGCTGAATGCAAAGAGCACCAGAGTCTACTGCACAAGCGTGTGGAGTTTCTGCAGATAGTCCTCGCATGAATTCCTCTGGTAAAGTCGTGTTTAATAACTTGGAGAGAAGTTCCAGTAGTCCCAGTAGTTTCAATGGTAGCCCCAGATATAAACACCGAGGAATGGAGAGGTCTTATTCAGCTAATGTTCGTCTTACTCCAGTTCTGAATGTTCCGATTTTTTCATTTCGAGGCTCGTCCAAATCTGGTGTTTTTGGCCTATTTTCGTCTCAACAGAAGAAAGAAAGTAGTGGTGCCAGTAGCAGCAATGGTGGTTTTGATTTTGGGAGTGAGTGGATTAGGGAAAGATTGAAGGAGATGGTGCTTTTTTCCTTTTTTATATTAAAATTATAAAGTTACAATTTTACACTTACCTTATTTTGGGGAAATAATTAGATTTTGAATTTTTGGGTCAACTGACGGTTTCTGTGGTCAAACAGATAAAACCGTCATTTTGGACTGATCGTGCACATTTTTTAAAGGTTTTGTACTTCCGGTGGCACAAACTAAAGGTTTGGACAAAGTCTGCTAATAAACGAAAAGTTTGGTACTTCGGCTGCAATTTTCCCTTAATTTTAACACACATTTAATCAATTTTTATCAAAATCTACTAAAAATTTCATTTTGATCCCCATCAAACATGAGCATTATTAAATTGTAGTCTGATTATAGACTTTCTTTAATTTAAAACAAAAGGTTAAAATTTTGTCCATTCATTTAAATAAATAATTTGCTCTTCATTTTAACTAATTGTACTTCCTTTAGATGAATAAAAATGGTTAATTATCTAAGTGGTCGTTGAATTATATCAAGTGCTATTATTTAATAATTGAACTTAAAAATGTATCTCAATGATCACTTAATTGTGCATTATGTCACCCATCCATCCCTCAAATGGAAAAATCATTAAGGTTCAACAAACGACGTGTACTCGAGCAATGGATAGGTAAAACAGTGTATAATTTAGTGATCATTGAGATACAATTTTAAGTTCAGTTACTAAGTAGTAGCAATTAATATAATTCAATTACCATTGAGATATAATCTTAAATTCAGTTATTAAGTTGTAACAATGTTTTATTCCATCAAATCGATCTTTGTGAATGAAGAAAATGAAGGAAAAAAAGAGAAAACTTAAGATGAGGGACTTATAAATTAAACAAAAATAAAACTTTCCAAAATTGGGCATTTTTAAATTTCTGCAAAAGATCAAAATTTTCATTTGGATCCCCTTTCCAAATATTCAATCCTTCGTAGAAATCTCACTTGTCAAATTCCAAAATCTAGTTTCGTTGCGAAGTGAACAAATAATTCCATCTTTTCCAGAAACTTTTGAATCGGCGAGCCAAATTTACGTCCTAGTTAGTTCTCTCTCCTCCAAATACTCTATTCTAATTATAAAAAAACCCTAATCCTAAATTATCTAATGTTTATGCTCACAGTTCTTGATTTCACATCGCTGTACATCACGGTAAACTTTGTTTACTCTCGCTCTCTCTCTTTCTTCTCTGCAATCTGTATCCATATATGAATTTATGTGTTTTTAGGCTCATTATTTTAGTACCAAAGCAAATTGATTTTATGCGTCTGTTTACAAGTTATAAGTTGTGGGATTGTTTTTTATTATGTTAAATTCATCGGTTTCAGTTTTCTATTTTGCATTTTTGGTTTAATGTTATAGAACGCAGTTGGGGGAGTGATTATTATTTAACTTGAAAGTATTGGTGACGATATGCTTAAATTCAAATATTTTATTTAGTAGTTAATTGATTAATTTTTCAAGTTCAGCTTCCATCATTTTATAGCATTTTCTCTTTTTCTTTTTCTGGAGTTCATGTCGGGATTATACGCATTATAATTCATGCAGCTTCTCCATGAATTAGCGTGGCTTTCAAAATGTAGGGTTGACATGGAAAAGGTGCAGCTATTCAAATCATGGACAAAAATACAGGGGTAATAGCGAAGGATAAATTTATTTCTTTATGATGGGTAAATTTTGTCATAGAAAAGATGGATGAGAATTGTAGATATTTTGGAGCGTATACCCAATGGAAATGAATGTAAAATTAAAGAAATAGCATATGTTAGGAGAATAAAAGAGAAATATTCGGCTTTGTCTCTATTCAGCTTCAACTCACTTAGTTGCTTTTCACTTGCACCAATTATATAGGAATATTAATGAATTCTTCATCTAGCTATGCTTTAAGTAATATAATAGATTTATTAGAAATGTCATGTGTGGTCGTAAGACCACTCAACTTGTCCTTTCTTGCTAGCATCTCACTGTTAATCTCTTTGAATAGCAAACAATAAAGAATACTTATTAGGTAACAGTGAACATAGGTGAAAGAGAACTTTCCATGACAAGGTCCATGAGGATTAATGCGATACGAAGAAGAAATCTAATCTGGCACTCTTTGTTCTGTTTTTTAACCTGAATACTATGCAGCTTATGATTAATTGTTAAACAGATAACCTACATGCAAATCCCAAATAAAGACACTGGTGCACTCCATATTATAGCAGCCATCCATTGTGGAAAAAGAAAATAATAGTATCTGTGGGACCTCTCGTAGTTTGCGTTGGTTATTAGGCCAGTGAGCAGTTAGTCTCTTATCTTTTATTGTTTTCCACTAGAACAACTGAATTCAGCACCACTTCTTTCTGGACAATCCAAATTAGTTAATAGAGGTAATTGGCGGAGAAAACAGTTGTAGTTCACTGGTAGATAATCAGTCTGTTGTTCCTCTATCTTCCCGTCCTGGTTTGATGAGTATTTCTCTTCTCCTTGAAGACCGAGAAGAATTTTAAAACAATGTTCATGTCATTTTCCAAAGTCAACGTTGTCTATAAGTGTTCTTCACTCTGATAAAATAGGTTTTGATTTTGGTTTGAAAAGTGTCACGCTTCTTTTCACTAGAACATGGGTGAGTATAGCTTTTCCTTTCCCCTTATACATTTTTGGCCTAGTTGTTAATTTATTGTGCATTTTCAATGTAGGCCCTGATTGGATGTATCAGAAGCTTTCTAGTCATTGCTTAAAAAGAGCTCTTAAAATGAAAGCCAAGAACCAATGAGGTTCCTCGAAGGCCCACCAGGTTTTCAGGGGGAGGGCCAGAAGTGGGTCCTTATTGTGGGTGGTGCTTTGCTGAGTACACTATCAAATCGACTAGGTTATAAGCTCAAGCAGGTTCTTGATACTAAACAAACTAACAATAGTGGCAACAGCTTAAGAGGCACGATACTATGCAAGATTTATGAGCTTTGCTAAAAAAATTTGATTATATTTTTAAACGTTTGTTTTGTAACGCAGGAAGTGGAAAATCCACTGACCGAAAAAGTCGAGGAGCCAGATTTTTCCTTCAAATGCATATTGTTTTTCCCACAACTAGGATGGTTGCTACGATCATCATCCAGGTATTATTTTTTTAGTGCTAATCCCAAAATTTGTCAGAGAGTAAAAATTTCAAGTTGGAGAATATCGATTCTATTTTATAAGTCTAAAATTGAACTTATTTTTTCTTGATCATCGTTCTGCTTAATGGCTCCAATTGTATGATTCTGCTGTGATTTATCCTTTTGTTATGTTTGCTTTTGATTAGGAACATCTATTGCATCCACTTCAGTGTAGCTCTGTTAGCTGCACAGGATGCTTTAATGCTTTATCATTGACTTATTATCTGCTGGTTACTTACCTTGTACCACGTGAGTGGAGGAGGCTTTAAGAGAACGGTTGCGTTTTTTTTATTCATCAATGTTCAGGTGTACATTGTCATTGTAGTCTATTAAAGAGAAGTAGCTGGGACAACAGTTAAAGAGAAGAGATGACATGATGCTGGAATGCAGGATCAGATTGCAGAACTTCAGAACACTCTTGACATTCAGCTTTTGCATTCTTCCCATCTGCAATTGCTGCTGGATGCTGCAAACATGGATCTGTTTGATTCCGAAAGGGAAATACAGAGATTAAGAAAGGAAATTGCAGATCATTGTGTGGGACATATTTGCCAATCCCCCTGCAGTTCATCTGTGGCCAGCCAAGGCAGAAGGGAGGAATGGCCATGCAAATGGATATCCCAAGGTTGAAAGCAATATCAACTCTTCAGAATAAGGGAGAGGAGATTGGGATAACATTGATCTGCTGAGAAGGGAAGTGAGTGAGTTAAAGGAAGCGATAGACGGAAAAGAATTCCTACTGCAGAGCTACATGAAGCTAAAAGCCGAGCTGTCAATGAAGATCAGAGATTGGATTCTCAACTTCCAAACATTTTGTAGACAGTTCTGGTACTTGTGTATTCTTTTGTTTTCTCATTTGATTTGAAGTTCCAAATTTTGAAAAGCCTCATTTTATTCCTTTTTTCATTTTACTTGTTCATAAATGAAAGACAGGGATGCAATGTTCATGAGTTTAGACTTTAGAGATCAAGGGAAGCCACGGGTAAACACGACTTTGAGTGTGAATAAACCGTGTTTAGTACTTCCAATGCAAGATAGTTTGGGCTCCATTTTAGTGGAAATTTGTTTTGGAATAGTGATTTTTTTTTTTAAGAATGTGTGGTTAAAAAATATGGAATTTTTTTTAATTTTCATGTAATATTATTTTATGAGAGAATCTGCAGTTGAAAATGAGTTTTGAAAAAATGGGAGCCAAACGAAGGCAGGTTCCATGTTTTGCAATTTTCAGATATTCTAAAACTGTGCATTCTTGCAGGCGGAGAATTTGTGGTGGTGCTTTTATTACAAGATTCCTTTGCTTGGGTTTTCGTTTTAGCCGTTAAAGTTATAAGTTAGAGTGCTGAATAAATAGATAGTATTTGTGAATCTTATAAAATATGTGGAAAAAATTAATGTTCGATTTTGAAAAGTAACTTTTTAATAACTTCACTCAAAGAAGCATTTAACTTGACTTCAGTAGTAACAGAATGTGCAATCTGTTTTCAATCTCTCACAATTTGGAAATGGATTTGTCCAAATGCTTCGAGAGAGCTCATTGTTTGAGCGATCATTTCCGGTGGATCGTAGAGGAAAAAAAAATGGTTAAGGGGCTTGTTGAGTAAGGACGATGGTCACTCATAGTGATGTTACCGTTTACAACATTTGGCCTTTTTTTTTTTTTTTTCTTTGGGGAAAAATTATTTTTCAAAAGTTCTGTTCTGCCCATAGTAAATTGTGGACAAAATGAAAATGCGTTACATTATTCATTAACTTCATTCAAATCCAGAGGTGAAACTTGACGAATCAATAAAATATAAGTCCATCTTTACACACACACATTTAAAAAAAAAAAAAAAACACACACCCACAAACACACACACAACAAATTAAGCCTTGTTACTGATAGACTTCGGATCGATTTTTCGCTGCTTCGAATCTTTGATCAGTACATTACCTTGTTTTCAATAAATTTGGGGCCGACCATTCACCACTGGAGTCAGTTCATTGCTAGAAGATTTTCAATAATACTCATAACCACATCACAAATATGCTTCAAACCCTCTTCTCTAACAGCAATTTCCGGTGGATAAACCAATCCAGAATACCTCTTAAATGCATTTTTACAGGCATTTGGATAATCAGCAGCAGCCATAACGTGCATGTAAGCATAATCATACAATTCAGCACCCAAATCTTGAACTGAATTCCGAAGTGAATCACTTGCAAAAGCATACTTTTGTGCACATTCCTTCATGACTTTCTTCATCAATGTGTCATTTGTAGAGGTTGAAAGTTGAGTAGAAAGGTAAGAATTTGTGGCAGTTGCATTTGAAATTCCAACTTTAACCATAATAACCGCCAATCCCTTTGTGTCTGATTTTGAGCTGGTGGAATCAGATTTGAGTGATGATATGCAAAGATCATAGTATTTTGTGTTTTTGCAAGTCTTTTGGATCAAATCTGAGTTGCCATATACTGGATGGAATGAAATGCAGAGGAAAAAGAGGATGAAAACAGGAGAAAACCCCATTATAGGGACACTTTTGTGGAATTAGATTCTAGGTCTACAGACAAGGTGTAGGTTGAAGGCTGGAATGGCTTGAAATGTGGGTTTCTCGAAGCAATAGGAAGATAAGGTATAATTTCTTATAATACTTCTCTCTTCTACATGATTTTATTATCTACTTCACACGTTTCAGTGGCGAAAGATTTATAGATGAACGAATACAACAAGAACGATGTAAGTCTTGTTTTCGATTAATTTATGATTTATCTTGTTACATTGAACAAAAGTAAATATCTAATAAGTCTTGTTTTTAATAAATTTGAAGTCAACTACGTAAATTCTTCATTATCACTACGTTCAATTTATTGTTAAATCTACTATAAGAGTCGAACATTCGCACATGGATCCTATATATAATTAAAATCCCACTGGGCTTTTGACTTCGTCGATCTGGTTTGTATGAACATGTACTACAATTTTAGAGGTTTTTGTTGTTTTCTTCTAATTGTCTGAAAGGGTCTGTTTGGTAAAAAAGTCCCTCATTAATTAGGTCTATTTGGAAGCTGGCAAGCAACCAAAATAGTGTCACGGGTCACATCTTAAAATAATAAATAAATAAATAATGATTGGACCCTCTTTCAATGTCACTTTGTGTTTTGGAATATTTGTATTAAAACCACAATTTACGTCCTCAAAATTATTGAATTCTTGGAATTTTTTGACAAAAATTATAATAAGATTTGAGCATATTACTGCACAATCTATCTACCGGAGTTCATTTGCATTTGTGACTGAAAAACATGTAATGTTTGGTTGTGTTTGAAAACAATTTACTTAATTTACTAATTTTTGAAATTACTTATTCATTAGTGTACTTACAAATTACTTATTTTACTAATTTGTGAAATTATTTATTCATTAATGTACTTGTAGTCTTTGATAAAAATCTTGTGCACCACAATTAAAGAGTCCAATGCATGTATCTGGGCGTGACCAAGAAACCGATCTCTGTTAACAGATCCAAATAGTCTTGAAATTGTTCTTAAATTTTTTTTTATTTTTTTATTTTTTTTTGCCAAACTAAACAATACAATACACAAAATTGAACTGATAATCGAAACTCCAATTACAAAATGTCAATTCAACTATACAGACATCATATTACAAGTTAGAGAAGGAAAAAAAATCAGTATTATGAAAATAAAAATATTATGCAAAAAGAAATGGTTCCCAATAGTTGATGCAACACATTAGTGACTTCAGCACGTGTACTTGTTTCAGTCGATCTGATTTAACATTTCACTTCGACGGAAAAATCCACACCCCGGGATGTGCCCACAAAAGGGTCAAACAGAAAAGAATAATTTCTTGTACTTTCTCCTGATGAAACTTGTGTCATCTTACCGTGTCTTTGGACCTGCATATGAGAAATGCTACAAAAACATGGTTAAAAATAAGGATGACACGTGGCAAAGTATGAAAAAAAAAAAAAAAAAAAAAACACTCAATCAAATTCTGTCAACTCAATCTGTCCACACTTCCCTGTTTTTAACCCTGTTCAACCATCATTGTTGCCTGCATATACATTCTGGGTATGGGTTCTGGTAAAAAGATTCCTCCAGCATGAATCGTGCTCGACCCTTGATCCCTGGTGGGGCACCTCCTCTTTTTCGCGGTGCACCTTGCCCGCCAATAGCTACCAGTGAAAAAAACTGAGTCTGATATTAATCCTTGACTAGCTAGCTGATTTGATGCTTGTCAATAATATTTGAGCATTTTAGCGACTAGATTGTATCTAGTGGTCGGCTCCCTTGGGTGACAATAATTTCGTGTGGCATGCAAAATTGTATTATAGAAAACACCTCCACCAAGTCCATAACACCGCTTTGCAGTAGAGCAGTGCACACATCTATGAGCATATTTGGCTTAGCCTAAAAATTTAGAAATAAGTTGCAGTAAATATTTCTTTGTCCATCAAAGTTGAAAATAAGGTACTTTACAATAAGATAAGAACTAATTTCAAACTAACTTTTTTCTACTTAAAAGTACAAAAAAGTAGCATATTGAAACGTATTTGAAAACAAAAAACTATGTAATAGTATGTTAGACTAAGCTTTAAAAAGTTTAAAGTAGCTTTTACTTCTTTTTAGGCTAAGTCAAACATGCTTCAACCAAAAATGTCCTTTGGTTTCATTTTCCTTTTCTCCTATTTTTGAAAAATTATTTCAGGAAGACGATGTTCAAGCTCACTGATATTTTTCACAGAAAATAAACAGATGCCAAACAAAACAAACATATATAAACAAGTAGAAAATTCAAATGAGTAGGGAATGGCCTGTTCACAACCAAGTCGGCTTTAATAAATATTTGCAAAATAAAATAAAATAAAATTCAACCCACGTGAGACTTGGAGTAAAGCATCCTAGAGAAGCGGATAGGCATAGGTAAACGCATTCATGCAAATGTATCACCTGTTTTTGTGCAATTTCTTAATGAGATGAGACAGAATTTTCTTCAAGCACTCAAGCTTCCAATCAAATAATTCCACTAGACCTTTCCTGCACGTAATGTTTTGATATTAACTGAAAGTAACAAAAGAGAAAATTTAAATCCATTACAACTCAGTATAAATGAAGAACTTAAAGCGCTTATCACATGCAGCAATAAAAGAACAAAGGATTCTTTGCGCTAATAAAATTTCTAGTACTCCCAGAGCATTGAAACTCGATACTCTATGCTATTATTTATTCATGCCTGGGTCCCAATTACATAACGGTCCCATTTATTCAATACAAATGTCAAATAAATAGTAGTAGAGAGTGTTGAGTTTCAAAACTCATGGTGTACAAGAAATTTTCCGTTTGTGCTAATCGAAAATGTAAAGTCCTGAAAATTTTCACATACTAGAATTTATTTATTTTATATACTATATTTTTAAATTTGAAAAGTTCGGGGATTAAAATGATAAATATATTAAATTCAATTTTTAAATGGGGTCAAGTCTTTAAATATTGATAGAGTAATGATAAATATATCAATATTGTACTAGTTGGATAGCTTATAATTAATCATGTATATTAAGCTCGAGAAAAAGTTTAATCGGATAAGTTAGGCTCGAGATATTACAGTTTTTAGAAATTGTTATTATTTGGTATGTAAATAAATAAAAATATACATATATTATACTAAATTGGGAGTAAGTATACGTGAAGTTCAAATGGAAAAGATAGTTTGAGTTAGTAGTTTGTTTTCTTTAAGAGTTAATTTGATCGGTTGCCATATACGTGTTGGATTGGGATTGTTGAAAAGGTTATCAATTAGTTGTTATTTTATTTTATCTAAAATATTGGTGTTATATGTCTAGCAAGCCATGTGTTCCATAAAGTTGTTGGAGAATATTTCAATTTTAGATGATACAGACGTGTGCTTGAAACCTGCCATCTTCTACACACAGTCTAATATTCTTATCCCACTTTCTATAGAGTTTATCATATAATATAATATAACTTATGAAGGCAACAACTTTTCTACACTGTATGTATATGCAAAAACAAGGAAGGCAGAAAGAATTTAGTGGACGTGATTCTTTTAGTTTGGTTTTCAAAAAAATTAAAGCAATCTAACAAGGTAGGGTAACGAGGTGATGTTGCTTTTATCCAGTTTAAATTATTTATTTCATGTTATTGAATTATTATGTTTATGAAAGTTTAAAGATATGATATGATATGTATGTTATGGCCATTTGGTACCAAAGATATCATGTTTATTGAGTTTTTACCAGTTTCTAAAGATATAATGGCGGTATGATATTTTTGACAAAAGTATTTAAATAATTTTATTCGGGATTGCATCATATTTTTTGTGTCCTAGAGAGTATTATCATGTACTCACTATCTTCCCTACTCACAGATTAGAACGGATTGTTGGTTGGTGGGCGATGCGGTACAATCGTAATGCCAGAAATTATGGGATTCAATAAAAATAAATCCAGAGTAACATGACTATGGACTTTTATTTTGAGCGTTATTTTGTTTTTTATTCCCATGTGAAATTTGTTATTTAGGATTTGGAACATATTTCAATTGATTATATTTCATATATATTTTATTTATTTCATTGATGGGACTAAAAATGTTCATGTTGAGATGTTTGACTAATTTATTTAATTATAGAATGAAAATTTTAGTAACGGCCTAAATTGTTAAAATTTGGGTTGTTACAGAAAAGGTCACTAGGAAATATGAAAAATGTATATTGAGATTTAAACAACAATAATACTTGTCTGGAGTGATTGTTTTGTGATGCCCTAAGAATCGACAATGTCCTTCAACAGCTCTTACCATGTTACCCGAATGTGATGGAATGAAAACATCACTTTCTATTTAGATATTATAATCAAAAGTTGCAGTTTGAGATGCGTGCTTGGGAAATGGATTCAATTCTTTTACGGTTGCAAGCATTTCTCAGGGCCGGCCCTGGCCCAAGGCAACCAAGGTCATTGCCTAGGGCCTCCAACTTGAAGGGACCTCAAAAGAAAAATTAAAACTCCAAGACCCAACAAAATATTTCCTTATTTTTTTGGGTTGGATCTCTAGCCCTTTAAAATACAACAACAATATTGGTCTAAATAATAGGCACAAATTACTTGGGTCATTTAACTTACATTCTTGTTTAAGAAATAAAATGGATTTATAATTAAACTATTGCCTAGTGATATATTTTGTTGTATTCTTCTATCTATCAGGATGGCAAGATCTATCCAAAAAAAAAAATTAAAGAAATTTTCCCTATATATATATATTAAAAAAGTTCTCATTTCATTTTTTAAAAGCTATAAAGAAATTGAATTTGAATTTATCATAATTGATATTAAAGAGACTTCTATACTTACTAAAAAAATTATATTTAAGGGCCTCGTAATATTTGTTGCCTAGGGCCGGCCCTAGCATTTCTTGTCATCAAATCACGTACAGTTTTGAAGTAGCTGTTGGTAAGGGGGAAATTGAAAATAAGCAGTGCCGCTGGGAGAAAGAATTGAAGGATCGAGTGGCCTAATGATTGGAAACGGAATGTACGTAATTTTGGTAAAGTTCCTTAAATTAAATTTGATTGGTTCACAGCTGAAACTTAAATACTTTCGCAGACATAGCATGTTTGGCCAATCTTAAAAAGTTCACTTATAAGTTAATAAGCAGATTAATATTTCTACATCTATGTGCCAGCACTACAGAATGCAGATAAAGGTATCTTAATAAAAAATTAGTTGTAAAAAGTATTTCACCTTATTATTCTAAGCTGCTCTGATTCAGCATCGGCAAGACCATAAGTGCAGCCAGTAAAAGAGAGCATGTTATTTTAGATGACGTGCAATGTATCTTTCAGCTCGTGACCACAACCGCTCCATTAGCTTCTGTGGTGTCACCGACATTTATGCTCAGTACCTAATGTAACATGAATCCCCATAGGAGATCTCTTAAATGAGTTTGCAGAAATACAAAAATTGAGTCCTATTTGCAAATATAATTATATGTAAAGAATCCTGTAAGGAATTTATAAGTACTTCAAGGACTCTCAGAAAACTTGACTTCTCTGTATATATAAGATATAAGAGCATATGTGTGACAAGTGTTTATAAAAATGAGAGGTAGATAAATGGATAGTACTTGTGGATCCCACGAAATATGTGACTAACAAGTGGTTAGACTTTAAGCTTCTACAAAATATGTGGATAAAAAGAGGTTAGACTTTAAGCCAGTGTTTATAAACATTTGCCAACCATACTCTAATTACATTATTGCCATTTCAGTAATTCATTTCCGCATATTGATTCACAGAAGGACATTCTAATTTTGGCTACATGACAATAAAATTTCATGGAGCAATTTTGTGCATTTAAAATAAGGTAGGAGCAGAATGATGGTTCTGACCCTTCCCAGCCTATTTATAGGAGAGAAGCACAGAGCATGATACAACGCTTGACATCTCAATCTTTGTATGTCGACAGGCAGGGACGGATTCAAGATTGGATTCAAAACCGGGTTATAAAATTTCAGATCAGGCTACTACGTGGAAAAAATTTACACATGAAAAACTGATTTTTTACAAAAAAAAATAAAAAATAAAAAATATCTTTAAAAAAAAGTTGTTGCGCCGTGGGGGGGAGGGGGGGGACTACAGCCCTGCCCTGCCCCCCCCCCCCCACCCCCCCTCCCCCGGATGACTCCTTTCAATTTTAACCCAATCCAAGGGTTTGTACCGGTGCGTCATACCTTTCCATAGTTTTGGATGAACATGCTTAGGAGGAACAAGCAGAACTTGCAACAGATGCTCAAACAATAAGTAGTTATCCGTCCCTGTCGACAGGTAGATCATTATTTGCAAGTCGGGAATCAGAGTTTGCAACATGAATTAACTGCAAATTGAAAAAAAATAAAAATAAAAAAATCTCAATAAGCCAACTCTGTGCATGGTTGTTAAATGTGCATTTAAGCATTTCTTTAGTATTGAATCGCAGTCCTTGAATATCATGCGAAAGAGTAAAAAATTTAGGCCTTTTCAGTCCTTTTACATCTAAACCACTAATTGAATATGGCTAGGTGTTTTATAGTGCTGATTGTTGAGTCCCTAGAGGACGAAATGCATGTACAGAGAAGAAATTAAGATGTTAATATTAACTGTGGGAAAAATGGATGAGAATAAGAAATTAGAATCTATGCGAACAAGAAGAGGGGGCACCAACTGATGATAATTTAAGGAGAGACCGGTAGGGCATGTCTTGCGAAAGCTTAAGCAAGTTAATGTCCACAAAATTGATGCATATGATAGAAGAGAGAAAAATACACCAAATTTGCATAGACTTTAGGTTTAAAGAAAAATTATGCACCTTCCCATATATGTAGCTATGGATCAAAGTATCCATTTAGTTGACCCAAATTAACGCAAACATTGTGGCCAAATTAAAGAGCAAATTAACTTATGTTTCCCGCAACTTACCAAAAATGCTGAAATTCTCGATAAGTTGCTGAACTGAATATGTATGAAGAGATTTTTCATACCCTCGTGCTGCGGTTTGCACCTTGCAATTAAGCTCCAACAGATTTTTCAGAGCACTTTATATACACCAATTTTTCTTTTAAAACTACAGATTTAGTTTTTAGCTTCCTCTCTAAGAGATTGTATTTTTTAACCACCATATATCTCATAGCATTACTGTTCAAACTGAAGAAATCCATATTAGAGATCCATATTCATAACAACAAATAATACCGATCCTGTTGAATGAATAAAACAATCATTTTAATTTATTTTTTTAAGTACATGCATGTTTTGGAGTTCAGGTAAAAGGATATGATGGAAAATGAATATAACTTGCCTGATGAATCATGATCCTTCCACAGTTGTGTCATTTCCTCATAGTAGCTCATACCAGACCATGATGTGAAGTGCTTCCTGACTCGAGGAACATTCTCCAATTCTTTTGGAACCTCCTCCACGATCCTCACATCTTGTTGTATAGTTTTAATGAAATGAAGTTCATCAAATATATCAGAAAATGTACTGCATATGAGCATATTAGAATAGAGACACAATAAAACTTGAATTCTCAATCTCAAAAAAATATTTAACTGAACCAAATTAAAAAATCAGAAAGAAAATTTACATTTGATAATAAAAGAAATTGCACTACATGTATATGAAATTATGTTAAATGCACTTATATACGCAGAGAGACATGCATGCATATACATATATGGAGGGGAGACTAGGAAATGAGTAAAAAAGTAGCAAAAGCAATGCAGTACAGAAACTGACCTTGTATCCTGCCAGAATGAACGCTTATGCAACTGAGGAATTACGAAAGTAGCATTCATTATATGTGCCACTGCCACCATATCAGCTATCTATAAACAATGAGACGGTAAAAGTAAAATATCATTAATAATACAATGATTAATCGAATAATTTACACTAAACATTCATTCTGGCAGAATAGATTTGACAATTCTGATAGTGGTAATCACATCATTTCTCACCATGAACAGAAAATAGACCATATTGGGGTCTTCTCTTCTTGGGCCCAGGAGGAAGGACTCACCAATTGCTTTCTACGAGTATTATACTTATCAAAACTTCATTCATATAAAAACAAAATCGAAGGTGAATTTATCACTCCCTCAGTCCACAAGTGAAAGACCTTATATCCTTTTAAAATGTCAGAATAATGACCACTTTCCCAAAAGTAGTTATTTTCTTTCCAAAAACTGCCTCATTTTAAGTACACGATGTGGTTCACAAGAATTTTTAGCAATTATCTTTGAGGGTAAAATGAAAAGTTATATCAAGTATCCATATTTTCAACTATAGAGTAAAATTCCAAGTAATCTAATCAAAACATTTAACTGAAGGACCAAGGTTATGGAAATGAAAATATATATGCTGCAAGCAATAGATGCTGACTTCGCTTTTTTATTCAATTGTCGATTTTTTGTAAGTTCTAGGAACAAACAGGTGGTATTGTGCATGAGGACAGACAGCTTGATCATTAACGTGCATCAGTAAGGGGAAGGATCCTAGGATATGAAACCCAATTTTAAGGCATACATCTGAAGTGGAGAGTGAGCTCTTCTGTGCTTGTTCAGTGAATTGTTAGCATTAAAATCAATCCTCTACATATAATGGTCAAAGAAGACAATATATATAAATAAAATAACAGAAATTAGGAATTGACAAAAATAACTTACTCCAGTGCGCATTTGATTTAATCCCCCATTACTTCTGATAGACATACAGCGATCCCAGATTTGGGTGACCGAACATGTAAATTGAGGTCTTTTAGTTGGAGAGAGAGAGGAGGTTGCAGGACGTCGCCTTTATATCTAGAGGTCGGCTTGGCACATGGGCATAAACCATGACTAAAAGAAGCTTCCCAAATTTGATCATCTCCAAGCTGCACAGAATAAACCAGAAATTCGGCATCAACAAAATAACAGAACGGTCATTCATTAAATTAATTATAGGCAGCCTCAGTCTCAACAACAATTTGCTACGTTATTTTTGTCTGCCTAATGAAATAGGTTAGTTAAGTTTAAAATATATTTTGGTCACAGCGTGCCAGAAACACTTCACAACCATGAAGTCATGTGCTGCATTGATACAGAAGATTGCAGATTATCTTTCCACTACTAAGCAAGCTCTAACTTGATAAAATTGTGAAGTAAATTCAAAGTTTAATACTTCATCCTCCCAATAATTTATTCTCCGAGTCATTATTGCCCTGTACAATTATAATTTCCAGATTATTCAGTGGTATCCACAACCATAGGCTTAAGATCGGTAGGTAGTATTCCCCAATTTCAAGCACCAACATATTAATTTATGGATTCTTTCCAATATGAGAAAACAATGTTCCTAATATATCAGTAGCAGGTTTGCACGGATTATAAAAAATCCCAAACAGTATAATTCTCATCTACATGGCTTCCTATGAAACCAAACAGTATAATTCTCATCTACATGGCTTCCTATGAAACCATCAAGTACTTTCCCGCAAGAAAATCTAACTTTATACATCCATATGCCGAGAAATTCAAACAATTTAAATTTGATGTTCAAAATTAAAACTGCATTTCAAACAATTAAAATCTTGAACATTTCCAGGACTTAGCTAGAAAATAACAATTCCCAAACCAGATGGAACATGCAAAACACATTTCTCAAATCCACTTAAACAAGGAAATAAAGAATCCAAGATCAATTTCTTAGAATCACCAAAAAATAAGCAAAAAATTACAGACCTGCTCAGGTTTGAATTTTTCTAATACAGGCAAAGGCTTTTTGTGTTCATCTTCCAAGATATCTTTGCTGTATAATATGAAAACAAAGATTGACAGAGCAAATAGAAGAATTACATAGGCTGTGATTAATAAAAAAAGATTGCTTTCTATTACAGATTAAAGGGTTTCTGAGATTGGAATTGCGTCGATGGTAAAGCATTATTGTTTCTCACTTGCTACTTCACCTACAACAGATATCCCAGGGGTGGCAATTTACCCGCCCGCCCCGCCCCGCCAAGGAGTGGCGCCCCGTTGCGCCCCATGAACAAAAAGTAAAATAGAAAAAATTAAGAATAATTTTATTTTTAGACTATTCATCCATTAAAAACTCATTTTAAATTTATATTTTATTCTCTAATAATAAAATATAATTTGAAACCTTCAAAATGTAAAAAAAATTAAATGGGGCAAAAAGTTGCCCCGCCCCGCCCCGCTAAGGCGCGGTGAGGCACGGGGCGGAGCGGGATTTTGGCCAAACTGGACGGGGCATTGCCATCACTAGATATCTGATTTAATACTAACTGTCAACGAGGAAATAGTGGCAGATAGCTGACTGACTTTGCCATTTTTCCAAAATGGCCTTTTGACCCAAAAATCTCATTTAAAAAAAATAAAAAATAAAAACTAACTGAAAATGTAGACAATACTCAAAGGTCTAAAATACCCCCAAATAAAGAGAAGAGAAAAGGAGAAAGAAAGAGAAAACTAAGAAAAGAGAATCACCAACGCCACCTACGGATTAGACTCATTTCGACCATTTGCTGGAGATCGTCATTTCTCAAAGATTAGATTTGTTTCTTTGTAATTTACTCACCATTGAAGTCTAACATACGTGGTAATTTGAATGTTTGAATTTAATACATAAAAATTTGAATTTTTAAGATTTGAATATGTTAAATTATTTGTTTAATACAAATTTTAATAGTTAAAATAGAAGGAAAAGATGAATTTAAAGTTGAACTGGTTAAGAAAAGTGAAAAAATGGAACGGAGCTCGTCGGAAATGAAGTTTTCAGACGATTCAGACGATAACGACACCATCGTCTAGACCCAGACGGTCCAGACTGCCCAAACAGCTGGGCCATCTAGATCCAGACTGCCCAAACGATTGGGCCATCTGGATCCAGACGGTCTAGGCTTTCTGGATGGCCCATGCCAGCCATTTTTTTTTAATATTGAATTTAATTGTTTATAAATATTTTATGAATTATCTAAATTGTTTATTTAAGTAAAATAATTAATTATTTTTCATTTCATTTTATTTAAAATATAAATAATGAAATAAATATAATAAACAATTGAATATTCAATAAACAATTAAAATAAATGAGAAATTAATATAAATAATTAATTGGAGTAAATAAATACGAAATAAACAATTAAAATAAGTAATTAAATATTAAACAAACAATATACATAACCAATTAAAATAATTAATGAGATATTTAAATAAAAAATCAAATTAAATAATTAATAAATAATTTAATAAATCAATATTTAATTTAATTGTTTATTTAAATATTTAAGTAATTACTTTAATTGTTTATGTATATTATTTGTTTAATATATAATTATTTATTTTATACTTTATTTATTTATTTAAATATTTCATGAATTATGTTAATTATTTATGTAAATTGTTTATTTGAATAAATAATAAATAAATAAATGAAATAAATAATAATAATAAATTGAAATAATAAATAACTAATTGAAATAAATTCAATAAACAAGTAACTTAAATATTAGTTAAGCAATAAAAATAATTAATTAACATAAATAACAAATAAATATAAATAATAAAAAATAGTTTAAATAAGTAATTAAATATTAAATAAACAATTCAAACAAACAATTGAAATAAATAATTAACATTTAAGTATTAAATAAATAATTTAAATAAACCATAAATATAAGTAATAAAAATAAGTAATTAAATATTAAATAAAAATTCAAACAAACAATTGAAATAAATAATTAGCATTTAAATATTAAATAAATAATTTAAATGAACAATAAATATAAAAAATAAAAAACAAGTAGTTTAAAAGTAATTAAATATTAAATAAACAATTTAAATAAACAATTGAAATAAATAATTAAAATTTAAGTATTAAATAAATAATTTAAATGAACCATAAATATAAATAATAAAAATAGGTAATTAAATATTAAATAAACAATTGAAATAAATAATTAACATTTAAAACAAACAATTAAACATTCAATTAACAATTAAAATAAATATTAAATAAACAATTGAAATAAATAATTAACATTTAAAACAAACAATTAAACATTCAATTAACAATTAAAATAAATATTAAATAAACAACTAAACAATGAAAATGAATAATTTAAATACACATTTAAATATTGAATAAATAATTTAAATGAACAATTTAAATAAATAATTAAATATTAAATATTAAATAAATAATTTAAATAAGTAAATAAAGAATTTAAACAAATAATTAACAATTAAATATTCAGTAAACAATTTAAATAAGTAAATAAAAAATTTTATTTTCAAATATTATGCTTTATCCATTGTCTCTTGCGCGAGGTCCAAACATGTTAAATTTTACACGATGGATTACCATTTGGACTCCGTCATGAGACAAATTCCCGACAAAGTTATGTCAAACTATAACTTTGTCAACTTTGCATTAGTCCTAAATTTGTTGGATGAGGAGCACGCAGACCTATTACCCCGATCCTGCTTATGACGGTAACTCTGGTCCAATCAGGAGACGCGTTCAAGGAATGCGACAATATATGTGACAAGTTGAAGTTGGGAATGATGTTTATACTAGAGAGCATATTGAGGTGTTATCACAAGAAAATGCCAATTGACATCTTTCATTTGGAGGTTGTTGATGACATTAACACATTCAACAACTATCCATAGGGACAAAACTGACAGTTATCAGCTCTCCTCGACAATCTTGAGGTACGTATTATTCATTTGTGATTTATGTTGTACGTCATTTCGAAATCTCGATGCATGGTCATTAACATGGTGAAATGTTAATATGTCAGTTTGAAGTGCTCGTTGAGCTGACGCTGTTGATCGAGGAGGAGGGTCAGAGTCATATCCGACGAGATAATCCGATTCGAAATTGAAAAAAAATTAGAAAAATAAAGATTTTATTTATTTTTTCATTGAAAATCATAGCCTCAACAAGATTTATTTATTTATTTATTTTAGAAATATTTAAACTATCTTGATGGGCTCATTTATTATATTAGAAAGCCAAACTCCTTTTTTTTTATATCTAAGTGATGCTTCTTTAACTCCTTTTCAATGGAGACTCGTTTTGGAATATTTTGGCGATATCAGATCGGATTGACCTATATTTAAATTTGATTCATTTAGTTAACGGATTATCGGATTTGAATCTCGATTGGGTTATCGGATTAAGACCCTAAATCCATCTCCCATTAATTTCGTCGGATTCCAATTGGATTTGGATCAAAATCCAATCTATTGATTCATTTAGTTAACGGATTATCGGATTTGAATCTCGATTGGATTATCGAATGAGACCCTAAATCCATCTTCCATTAATTTCATTGGATTCTGATCAAAATCCAATCTATTGATCGCCCTAATTGAAGTACATTGAATTTTTAGCATCGGACGTGGTGTAGAGCTGATAAACCAAACACACATTAAAATGTAAGCATTCTTTTATGTACATTGTGATCCGTAGTTGTAATAATTTCAAATGTAATCATTTTTTTAAAACGTTTGTAATACATTAGTTTTTATGTAATTATATAATAAGAAACTAATTACTCTTAATTATATATATAACATAATATAAATAAAGAAAATTGAGGAAATCAATAACATACTATAAATAGAGAGTACATACGATTTAAATAGATATTACATATTCGTCGGGTCAATTTTCATATAATCAATAACATACTATAAATAGAGAGTACATACTATGTAAATAGATATTACACATCCGTTGGGTAGAGAGTAACACACTATAAGCGAAAACTTCTCACTCGACTTCGTTTGGTAGAGAAAATATAGTTTCAACATTCTTGAATAATGTTCGATGTATTGAAAATATGACCGTGCCTAAAGTTCGACTCTCATCCCTGTTAGATATTCTTTTACACCGTGTGATTTATGTTCTAATTAAATATTAAATAAATAATATAAATAACCAATCAATATAATTAATTAATGAGATATTTAAAGAATAAATTAAAATAAATATTAATTTTATATTCGAATAAGCGATTAGATAAATAATTAAATTAAGTAATGAAATATTAAATAAACAATATACATAATAAATTAAGATAATTAATTAATGAAATATTTAAAGATGAAATTAAATTAAATATTATTTTTTTATTTGAGTAAGTGTTTAAAATAAATAATTAAATATACACAACCAATTAAGGTAATTAATAAAAAAATATTTAAACGAGAAATCAAATTAAATATTGGAGAATTCTATATGTACTAACTCAAAAGGATGTCCATAATATACATGTAGAATTCCATGAGTGGAAAATTTAAAAAATTATTTTTCAACTCTCCAATAATATTATGTCACTTGTACATTATGGTATAATATTTTTATTTAAATAAGTAACTAAAATAAAGTAATTAAATATTAATTACTAATAATATACATAACCAATTAATATAATTAATTACTGAAATATCTAAATAAGAAATTAAATTACATATTAATTTTTTATTTAATTAAGTGATTAAATAAATAAATAAACAAAGTAATTAAATATTAAATAAAGAATATACATAATTAATTAAGATAATTAATTAATGAAATATTTAAATAAGAAATTAAAATAAATATTAAATTTTTATTTAAATAAATGATTAAATAAATAATTAAATAAAGTAATTAAATATTAAATACACAATATACATAAGCAATTAAAGTAATTAATAAAGAAATATTTAAACAAGAAACCAAATTAAATATTAATTTTTTTATTTGAGTAAGTGTTTAACATAAATAATTAAATATGGACCAATTAAGATAATTAATGAATGAAATATTTAAAAGAGAAACCAAATTAAATATAAATTTTTTTTATTTGAGCAAGTGTTTAAAATAAATAATTAAATATACATTTATCAATTAAGATAATTAGTTTGATTTCTCATTTAAACAAGTGATTAAATAAATAATTAAATAGATTAATTAAATATTAAA